CCTCCCCGGCAGCAAACAAAATGGCGGCCGCGATGGAGCCCAACTCCGAGCCGACCAGCCGACAACAGTGGCCAGGCCCCGGCGAGGGCGGCGGCGGCGGGGCTCAAACCCGGGCAGTTCTCAGAGGACTCGACAAGCCGCGGTGGTAGATTTTCTTCTTAGGGAGAGCCAGCCATGATTATAATGGCAGCGCTCCCTTCCTCCGTTTCCTACCTCCCCTCTCGGCCTCCTCTTCTCAGCGTCTTGTCTTTTCGGGCTTTTTCGGGCTCTTTCCGAGCTCCGCACCTCACTTCTGGTGCCGTCTCACTCTCCCCCAATCTTGGTGGTCAGGATGGGGGGGGGATCCTAGGATTTCTCTAGGATTCTGTGCTTCGATTAGCGCAGCTCAGCGTTGCCGCTGCTGGCCGCCATCACCGGAAACCGGAAGACTATCAAATATTTATGAATATACAATAGTTACGGAGTCATACCTGCAATGTAAGAATGCCAGTCCAAAATGTTACTTAATTCTTAAGTAACATGATTACGGAATCCTTCATTCTAAAGCAATACTTACCACTCCTATGCCTTCAAATGCAAATATAGCTGTCCCAAAGAAGAGGGGAAACTTCTTCCAGTTCGCCACCAAAGTCAGCTTTCGGGGAGTGGACAAACCCTGCCAAATGACACCAAAGAGATCAAATATAACACTTCCAGGCACTTCTAGAAGGACTTCAATGCTAATTGAAAAGAAATACGAGGGTTATCCGGAAAGTAAGTGGGAGAAATAACTCTTGTCTGTTGGAGCTAGGTGTGAATGTTTCAATTGGCCACCTTGATTAAAAAACAAAAAAAACCCCTCTAAAATTGTAACAGTAAATAAAAAACAAAACTCAAATACAGGGAAACTCCAGCCAGGAAACAGGAACACCTCAACAAAGAAATTTCCCAGGCAATAACAAGGCACACCTAAAAACTGTCAGGCCATCAAATACTAATCAAGGTGGCCAACTGAAACATTCACACCTCGCTCCAACAGACAAGAGCTCTTTCTTCCACCCTGGACCTTCCATAGATATATAAACACAATTTTCCAGTTTCCAACAAACCTCACAACCTCTGAGGATGCTTGCCACTGATGCAGGCGAAACATCAGGAGAGAATGCTTCTAGAACATGGCCATACAACCCGAAAAACCTACAACGACCTGGATCTGGGACTATTCAGACTGAGACTCCATTTCAGAAGTCAGTATGTGTATTTAGTATAGTAATTGGTTATTCATTAGACCAGGGGTTCTCAACCTGGGGTCCCCAGATGTTTTTGGCCTTCAACTCCCAGAAATCCTAACAGCTGGTAAACTGGCTAGGATTTCTGGGAGTTGTGAGCCAAAAACATCTGGGGACCCCAAGTTGAGAACCAGACAGAGACTGCAACTGAATGCCTTGGACAACTTGGAGTAAATCCATTTCCCCCTGTTTTCCTGTTATTCCCCCCATGAAAACAACTCTCGTTTATGATATGGGAAGGGAGTAGGGTGAATAATCAGCAAAAACGTGTAAAATGGTTTTCCTCCTTCAACTCCCCCCCCCCTCCATAAACACCTGAAAAAACATAGTTTGGGAAACACTGTTCTAGAAAGAAACTGTTACTAGTGACAATTGGGCCCCTAAAGGGGAGGCATTTCACCTTAAGGAAATCACAACCAAGAAGGTCTTCTCTCTCATTTTCCCACATCATAGTGTGTGTAGTTTTTGAACACTTGTCTGACTATCAGAATAATGTGTGTGTCCAAATATACATATTTTAATTGATTTGTGAGAGGTCAGTGATACAACCATAATGGGGAATGGAAAGATTCAAGCAAGAGCATGACTCAGTGAGACACCTTAAATGCAGAAAACAACAAAGTCAACTGCACTCTTTAAAACTGCATAAGAAAAAAAATGCAATTATCCTGCATGATACATTTCCAAAGTCATGGAGTTTTGCCAGTGAATCACCTTGACCTTTAGACAATGGATGAGACAATTTGGACAACTCAAGCAAAGGTCATTACCATTCACTGAGACTTGCTTTGGCCACTCACGAATGTATCATGTAGAGTTACCAGCTTACCCTTGAGATTGTTGGTCACCTCCTCATGGAAATTTACCATAACCTACCCAATGAATTAAAATGGCAGAAAAGTAGAACAGCAATTGGATGCCACTAAGTTGAGAACTTTTCAGCCACTAGTATTATATATTAACACAACAGCTAGGAAAACTTCTTGAGGTGACCACAGTTCCCATAAAATCCCTATCAGCATAACCAAAACCATGCTGATTAGGAGATTCTGGGTTGTGTAGTCCAAACAATGGGACTTCTGTGTATTGTCGAAGGCTTTCGTGGCCGGAATCACTGGGTTGTTGTAGGTTTTTTCGGGCTATATGGCCATGTTCTAGAGGCATTCTCTCCTGACGTTTCGCCTGCATCTATGGCAAGCATCCTCACTACCTCTGAGGATGCTTGCCATAGATGCAGGCGAAACGTCAGGAGAGAATGCCTCTAGAACATGGCCATATAGCCCAAAAAAACCTACAACAACCCAATGGGACTTCTCCAATCTCTGGTATATATATGCGTATATATACACACATACATACACATATATAAAGCCACACAAAAATGAATGCTGAATGGAGGCCAAAACACGACCATGTGACACTGCTAAGGAAAAGAACCAATGCTTTACTCACCCAAATAATATATTGATAAATAATCACAAGGCTAACAGCCATGGAGAGATTTGCAAGGAATGACAGGATGGACAGACTTTTCAGGTCACGGATGAAGACCAAGAGGATGATAAATGGAAGGAAGCACAACATATATAGTCGCAGATCCATGGAACTTCTCTCTGAAGGTCTAGACGTTCCTGTGAAATTCAGAGCAGCAGATTTGGTTCCTACAAACCCTTCATAAATCTGTGGGAAGAATAAAGTTTGTATATAAATATGCAGAAGATAAATTCGTACAGTTTGAACAATTTAATTTTCATGCCCTGTGTAACCACTGTCAATGGCTTTGTTTTGTTGTTCTATTTATTGCATTTTAATCTTCTTTTAAAGAAAAAAAAGAAAAATAATGGCCAAAGAAAAGTTATGAAACAGAGAAGGTTAAGAGATATTTTTGTATTTTCCAGGATATTGGACTTGTACATCTTCTACTTACAGGTGAACACCAACATCCCAGGAGAGTAGTATGCCCTGGAACTTGAGGGCCTTTCACACAGCCATATAACCCAGAATAGCAAGGCAGAAAATCCCACAAAATTTGCTTTGAGTTGGGTTATCTGAATCCACACTGCCATAGATACCAGTTCAAAGCAGAAAATGTGGGATTTTATTCAGCTGTGTGGAAGAGGCCTGAGAGATCGATCTAAAGAGAATCCAATAATATTAGATTATTTTGGGGCACTATTGCTGTAAGAGTTGTATGTAGGTAATTTTTTTTGGTCGTTTCAGGAGCAACTTGAGAACCTGCAAGTCGCTTCTGGTGTGAGAGAATTGGCCATCTGCAAGGATGTCACCCAGGGGACACCCGGATGTTCTGATGTTTTACCATCCTTGTTGGAGGCTTCTCATGTGTCCCCGCATGGAGAGCTGGAGCTGACAGAGGGAGCTCATCCGTGCTCTCCCCGGATTCGAACCTCTGACCTGTCAGTGTTCAGTCCTGCCAGCACAGGCGTTTAACCCACTGCATCACTCGGGCCAGGGAAAATTAAGACTGAGACATTTTACATGAATTTCTATACAAGATATATATGTACACATGGTAAACAGAGTAAACTGCCATTTGTTTATAGTTGTGATTTTTGTGATTTATTTGTTTTCCTTTCTTTGTCCTTTTGTTTTTATTAGCCCCTGAAGGAGACTATTAAATATTACAGGCCAAGCATGTTGGGCTAGCAGAAAAATTTAATTTTCTTATTCAACACCCTGATGCTTCATCTCTTCTCTACACTCCACCAAAGCTGAATTTTAACCTGTTTATTCTGCTAAAGGAGCTCCCTGGTGGTGCAGCAGGTTAAACTGCTGAGCTGCCGAACTTGCTGGGAGTTCGAATCCAGGGAACGGGGTGAGCTCCCACTGCTAGCCCCACCTTCTGACAACCTAGCAGTTTGAAAACATGCAAATGTGAGTAGATCAATAGGTACTGCTTCTGAGGGAAGGTAAAGGTTCTTCATGCAGTCATGCTGGTTACATGACCTTGGAGGTGTCTACAGATATCGCCAGCTCTTTGGCTTAGAAATAGAGATGCACACAACTCCCCAGAGTCGGACCTTTACCTAACTATTCTACTAAGAAAGAGTTCGTAAATATCCTATTAACATGGCAAGGAAACACAGATTTTTTTCCACTTCTGACTTCATCCATGGAATAAAACCTAATGTCTCTTCACCATGCACTATAGATATCAAACTTTTCTCCATTCTTCTAGAGGGAGGTGGGATTTCCAATAATGGAAGTCTGTCAAGATCATATAATAATAATAATAATTATTATTATTATTATTATTATTATTATTATTATTATTGCGCATTATTCGCCGATACATCACACAGTCCTAGGCTCTTGGGACGTGTGATCCAATTCAACAGCCAGCAGAGTGTCTCCTGTGGACTCATCTTGTTGTGTTTCAAATAATAATAATAATAATAATAATAATAATAATAATAATAGTAATGTTTATTTATACCCCGCCACCATCTCCCTGAAGGGGACTCGGGGCAGCTAACATGAGGCCAAGCCCAAAGATACAATATAACTGAGTAAAATACAAAATTCAGACAACAAAATTACATCAAAATAAAAATACATACAATAACAATAAGATAAATAAAGCAAATAAACATATTATAAAATCGAACACAATGGGCAGGCCAAATGGGCAAGGTAACATGATAAAACCCTGGATGAGGTAGGAGTAGAAAAAAGGTGTAATTGAGAGGAGCCCAAAAAAGATGTTCAGTGGGATTAGTCTTTCAGTTCAGGAAGAGGGAAAGTGCATCATAGGGGCAACACTGTGGATGGAACAAAGAGAAATGGGATAGGCGGTCACTCTCCAAAGGCACATCGGAAGAGCCAAGTTTTCAAATTTTTCTTGAAGGCTGCTAAATATAGACTTCCTTTTGTCTTATAGTATAAAACTCAGAAGAGATACCTTTAGCAAACTGGGCCCCATACAAGTACTACTAACATAAAGGATTGGCTTAGTAATAAGAGCCTAAATCTGTTTTATTGTTATTTTTACTATTACCCACAGGTTAAACGTAAATCAATACTTAAAATACGTATATCTCATTGATGCAATGGGATATATTTGCTGGGATATCAATGTGCTAATTTAACAATTAACAGTGACATGACTCCCCGTATCTATCAATTGCTCCACTAGATTCGTGAATTTGTTCAGGCTTCAAATTTACACATTGAGGTTTTTAAATGGAGACTGCGTCATATCCTCATTATTTTGATTTCTCGGCTAGGTTGCAGTGACATAACTTTGCAAAGCTTTTAATGTCATCTAATAGACTACATCTCAAGCATTTAGTACTGAGGGGTTTTTTTTGGTGAGGGGGGTTGGACTGGTTCCCAGAAGCCCCAGCCATCTTTTCATATGGTTGCCTGTTTAAAAACTGGAGGTGAGTCCTGTACTTTTAAGAGTTATATAAAGAGAACTTCAGAAGCTGGGTTGTTGTAGGTTTTTTCGGTCTATATGGCCATGTTCTAGAGGCATTCTCTCCTGACGTTTCACCTGCATCTATGGCAAACATCCTCGGAGGTTGTGAGGTCTGTTGGAATTAGGAAAATTGGGTTTATATATCTGTGGAATGACCAGGGTGGGACAAAGAACTCTTGTCTGTTGAACAAGAAGCTGTTTCTTGTTGCCTAGATCCACAGGGAGAGGTGGATGAGATATAAATGCTGTTGTTTTCTGACAAGCAACACCTGCTGAAATTTCCTCTCATTAAGCTTTGGTTAGACCTCACCTGAAATACTGTGTCCAATTCTGGACACCATAGTTTAAAAGAGATATTTATTGTACTTATATTTTTAATCTGTAATGATGATGCACTGTGCTGTTTTTGTATATTATTGTATTTGAACACATGTGTGAACTGGCCTGAGTCCCTCGTTTGAGGTGAGAAGACCGGTATATAAAACTTCTAAATAATAAATAAATAATAATAATATTGACAAGCTGGAAGGTGTCCAGAAGAGGGCAGCTAAAATGATAAAAGGCCTGGAGACCGTGGCCTATGAGGAGCTTCTTAAGGAACTGGATATGTTTAGCCTGCAGAAAACAAAGGTGAGAGGAGATATGATGGCCATGTATAAATATGTGAAAGGATGTCACAAGGAAGAGGGAGAAGACTTGGGCAAAAGTATGATAGTTGGGACCTTACGCTAGTTGCCAATGCAGGTCAGAATTAATGAAGGGAACACGTGCGCGAGACAGCGGAGCGAGTGAGAGACGCAGCTGCAACAGGATAGCAGTGAAGTAATTAAACTCAGGAGGGACAGGATAAAGGTGAGTAATATAACAGTATTCCCCCCCTTTTTTTATCCTTCCTTCCATTGCAACGAATCTACCGCAGCTGTGTCTCTCACTCAGTGCGCTCACTCGTGCACGTGTTCCCCTAATTCAGACCCACGTTGCGTAAGCAGCGTAGCGTAGAGTCCCAGCTATCATACTATTATTATTATTATTATTATTATTATTATTATTATTATTAACTTTATTTATACCCCGCTAACATCTCCTGAAGGACTCAGTGTGGCTTACAAAGGCCAAGGCCCTCAATAAAGCAACAGCATAACAAATACAACAATAAAACTCAAAAAGCAAACCAATAAACATTAAAGCAATAACAGTAAACAATAAAACAATAACATCATGAGACATTTAAAAACTAAGGGCCGGGCCAAATGTAATGAATAAAAATTAAAAGTGCTGGGCATGACAAGAGAAATGTAAGGATTTTAGGGTAGGTGCGATGTGCAGACAATTTATTTATTTATTTATTTATTTATTTATTTACTCCATTTGTATACCACATTTATCAGCCTGAGACGGCGACTCAATGCGGTTTACAATAAAAATGGGCAACACTGAACAATATATAAGACGCACATACACAAACAACACACATAGTCATCAACGCCTCAATTAGAATCAGATCCCGTTCTCACAATCCTTTTCCGTTCCTTGTTCCAATGCCGTCATTATTGAGTTGGTTGTCATCACATAGTTATCCGAATGCCTGCTCATAGAGCCACGTCTTAACCCTCCTCCGAAACACCAGTAACGAAGGGGCCTGCCTGATGTCCACTGGTAGCGCATTCCATAGCCGAGGGGCCACTACCGAGAAGGCCCTGTCTCTCGTCCCGCCAATCGCACTTGTGACGCCGGCGGAACCGAGAGCAGGGCCTCCCCGGACGATCTTAACGTCCTTCCGTTCATAGGTGGAGATGCGTTCGGAGAGGTAAGTGGGGCCGGAACCGTGTAGGGCTTTATAGGCTAAAGCCAGCACCTTGAATTGTGCCCGGTAGCAAATTGGCAGCCAGTGGAGCTGGCTCAACAGGGGGGTGGTGTGCTCCCTGAGAGCCGCTCCCGTTAGCAACCTGGCTGCCGAGCGCTGGACCATCTGAAGCTTCCGGGCAGTCTTCAAGGGCAACCCCACGTAGAGCGCGTTGCAGTAATCTATGCGGGATGTGACAAGAGCGTGGACTACCGTGGCCAAGTCCGACCTCCCAAGATACGCAGGTGGGATCGTGAGCAGGGTCTCTCCAGATGAACGGAGGGATCATGTGGGTTCATATACGGAGATACTATTGCCCAGACTTGTTTTCTGCTGCCCTTGAAACTAGGACTACGAGAAATGGGTTCAAATTACAGTAAAGGAGATTCCACCTGAACA